GGCAAGTGCGTGTGCACAGAGATGACTGCCGCCAAGCAAAAGCCCGAGGTTCACCATCCTCTTCTCGCACCAAACAATGTCCTGCCGTCAGGTGGCCATCGCTCATCCGTCCTTCATGCCCCCTGAGGAGATGTACCACGACTTTCCCTCCGGCGGTTGCCCGATCCCTGGCTGCACAGACAACTGCGACCTATTCCGCTTCCCCAAGCAGAGACCTGAGCACACGGGGGTGCTCGCACCCGCATCATCGAGCAGCGGGCTGCAGAAGCAGTACGGGCGGGCTGCTGAAGAAGTACGGCATCGATACGGGGGCAGGGCGCGGGCAAGGGAGATGTGCAACTGGATCGAGTGCAGAAGGTGCTTCTCTGACGACGCAGCAGGCACCGCCGCATTCGCATTGAATGGGAGCACTGGGGAGGGCAGCGTGACGGGCAGCGAGGCGAGCAAGGAGAGGGGCGAACGTGTGTATGCGAGGCTCGTGTGCAGCCAACGGGCATGGACGACGGTCAATCGCCAAAGCGCATGCGCGCGGCGAGTGTCCGAGTCTTCGAGGTAGATGGAAGTGTATAGAATGGAACATACCTTATCTATCGGGTGGAACCCGCCAGGGATCTTGACAAAGAGTGCGCGCCTGATAGCTCGGTAGGAAGATGAAGTGGAGCTAAGGAAATACCAGTTGTTAGTGAAGCCATGTTGTGGTGCGGGAACAAGCTGATAACGAGCCCGCGAAAAGATATAGAGACACACCTGCAACCACCGCCGTCAGAGTAGTCGATGCGGTGGAATGTAAACAAGGCCGAAAGAGGGTATCTGCCATGACCACGTCAGCCATCATTCAAGCGGGGCTACCCGTACAGAACAACGAGGAGTTCGCGAAGATATGGAGCATGATCCACATGTTCGCAAACCCCTCGGAAAGGATAGACATACCTTGAGAATGGAGACGAGGATGAGAGGAAGGGACCCAGGGGTTGCGCCGACGAGGCGGAGGAAAATGCTGTACGGCCTCGAGGGCAATGTTAGCGGGCTGACAAGGACAACGGCATACACAGGCAATACGAAACTCACCTTTGACATGAGGAGGGAGCCCGAGATTGAGGGGAGACAAGGTGTGGTTCTGAGAGAAGGGGAAGGAGGGCTTCACTCCTTGCTGAGGCGCAGTGGCCTCGTAGATCTCGCGGTATGTGTCTTTCCTGCGAGGCACGAAGAGTTGTTCAGCATGAGACGATGACGGCGCAGAAAAATCGGACGAAAATCGTCGCCGTAAACAGGTACCGGTGGAGCGAAGACAAATCGGCAGGGAAGGCACTCACAGGTACTCGACACGCTCCTGGGACGCTGGTTTCCACAAACTGGTTCGGCCGTCTCAGGCCTGCGCTCGCGGTACGGAAGCTTGAGGCGGTGGGATTGGCAGATGGTGGGGTCGGTGGCGTCTTCGGGCTCGCAGAGTGAGCAGGGCACTGCCGTCCGTGAGGAAGGTGCTGGCGTGGGGTAGGCAACGAGGTTGCGGCGCCGAAGGATGAGGAGGGTGATTGGATAGTGGGGCTTGGAGGAGGCCGGCCCAACGAGCGAGGAGGACAAGCTGAAAAAGACGATAAGTCAGTTCCGGTTCGCGCCGAAGGGTGGCGCAAGCCGAGCGCAATCAGGTTGGCGGCCAGTGCAGGAGTCCATGCGCTGCAAGTGTGCGGGCTGGCCGGTATCTGCCTCACCACCACCATCATGCCCAAAAAAACCAGGCCCCCGCAAGCCCTGACTCCCGAGCCTCAAGCTCGTTCTGAGTCGCCTCCTCAGCCTGCCACTCAACGGGTGACTCGCGCGCGCAACAAGGTTGCCCACCCGGGGGCACGCGATCTGCGGGGTTGGGACCCTGACAACCCCAATCGCGTCCCCACCCCGCCGGCCGAAAAACGGGAGAAGTCCGCTGCTGCGAAAAAAAAGGAGGAGCAAGAAAAGGTCCAGCGGGAGCGCAAACAGGCCGCCGCCGTCGTGAGAGCCGCACGGGAGCAAGATCGACTGCAGCGCGAAGAGGAGAGGGCGGTCGAGCAGCGTCGTAATCCCCCTCCCCCTCCCCTCCGGCTCCCTCAAGCCAGACTCCCGCCATCGAAGCCCTCCAGGGTCGCAAGAGAAACCTGTAAGTGACACTCACCTGTTCTAGAACCTCCCTACTGATTTCGCTCTCGCCAACGTCACCAGCCTTGCCGCCTCCTGACCGCTGATCCTCCGAGGCCAAGACTCCTAGGGTCAGCGGGTCAGCAATGCAACTGTTAGGAGACTATACAGACAGCGACGACGAAGATTGTCAGTGACTTACCTCACCCCGATGTCCTCTACAATATGGACTGATGTTCGCCAGCCGACGACG